AGGGGACCTTTCCCCAGCCAGTGGCCTCTCTGCCGTGGTGGCTCAAGCCCCTCCCAGGTGACGTTCCTTAGAGGAGCAGCAGCCTGTGCCAAGTCTCCTCTTACCATCAAGGGACACTAGCAGGCCACAGAGAAGGGGCAAGCCGCTTTTCACTCCCTACGAGAGAGCAAGGGTCACAAGAGATGGTCCAGGAGGAAGAAAAAGAGCCATGAGAAAGTTCTGTGTTAAAGCCAGGACAATGGGGACATTTTCTCTGCCAGTCACATCAGCAGAGGGAAGGGAACCAGGGGTAGCCGAAGGAGGCCCCGGTTGATTCTGAGGCTTGAAAGCTCTCCCTGGAATCTGCTCTAAAACAGGGAAGCTGCTGAAAGCTGGGAGGCACAGTAAGGCTTGCAGGGAGCGGGAATCTTCTTATTTAACATATTGACCAACGGTAAGATTGACGAAAGTTCACGAAGAGAACACACTCTTGTAAATAGCACATCAAGAAGTGCATCATTACCACAACTCCAGAAGCCCCCAGTCTCCCACAGACCAACGCCTCAAGGGGAACCCCCTTCGTGACTTCTAACACCAAGGATCAGTTTGACCAATTTTTGAACTTTATATGCGTGGAATTACGTAGTCTATACTTTGTGTTTCTTCTGTTCAACACCGTTTGCATATCCACACACGCAGCATACAGCTGTAGCTTGTTCTTCGTTGCTCATTAACGTTCCGTTATCCTCTCTACCCCAGGGACGCAGGCGGATCCTGGCCTGGGCTACTGCGCGCTGCCTTACAGGCTGCCGAGCTCCAGGCCCGGGGCTGTGAGGCGTCAGACGGGTGGTCAGCTCCCAGCCCTGGCTTCCCCCACCTCATCAAACACTGTCTGGATAGCTACTGGCAGCGTCCCTGGGGAGACTACAAAAAGGCACCCCTTCCTCAAGTAAATATTTTTGTTAGTATGTTATTGTTTAGCATGAACAACTCTTGGCCTGGGAGCGCTCTAGAGCCCTGTGGGCAGCGGCCCGGGCCCGCTCATAGACATGCCCTGATGCCGTGTGTCAGAAGCCATCACACACAGCCGGGTCTGAAATGGAGGGTGGGAACTGGACCTCCGAGGCACAGGAGAGGAAGGCACAGTGTTAGTGCAGGCCACGGAGGAGGGTGACCATGCGTGCCCTTCAGAATATGTGTATGACATGTATGTCGTGTGGCTTTATGGGGGAGGTGACGCTCTACTGCTACCCAGGTCTTCTATGAGTGGCTCAGAGTCTCCAAGTAGGCTGATCATGCCCTCGTACATGCAGCGCCCTTGAGCAGTGTACAAGCTGAACACCCACATAGGTGGCCCTGTCACTAGGCCCTGGGGATGCAGAAAGATTGATCGGCCTGACTTGAAAGAGCTCATAGTTAAAGACGGCAGGCAGACAAGAAAATCAATTATTAAAATACAGCGTAACACGTGTGACAATGAAAGTTTGCCTAAAGAATTATGAGGCTCTGAAACAGACTCGCAGCTAGAGGATAGAGACAAGTGGGTACACACTCCAGCACTAAGAGGCAGGACCCACAGGAACGGGTGAAGTTCACCAAGAGGACTGGCGTGGAAGACAGAGCCCAAGTTTCCAGTTGGAAAAGGGAGTCCATGGTGGTGCGGTCCTGAGCCAGGCAGCCGCACTCACCCGCACAACGGGGACCACCAGGAGAGCAGCCCCAGCAGCGGAGGGGGGAGTGGCCGGCGAGGAGGCGCAGTGCTGGGGAGGCCCACTGAGAGG